GGTAACCCTTCAGCAGCCTCGCTGTCTGTGAGGTCTGTTTTGTACTGCTGTTTGGCCAGCATCTTGCCTGGAGTGCAGGTGGGCGTTGGGTCTGCCTGGGTGGCAGCTCCCAGCTGTGGCTCTTGCACTGCATACCCTGTATGTAGCTCCTACCTCTCAGACTCATTCCCAGTGCTCCAAGAGCAGAGGATGCAGTGCACGTCCTGTGCTTTGGGGTGGCGTTGCAGGATTGTAGCTGTTTGGTGCAGTTCGAAGCCCAACTTGGGTAGGCAGCATGAAGCTGATGTAATCTAAACAGCTCTTTGAGCCTCCTGAGCAGGACTTTGAGGCTTGTGGCCAGATGCTTAGAGGCAACAGCACAAAGAAATGGGGCTTTAGTTGGTGGCGGCTGCTCCCTGGGGCAGCAGGCAGGGATGTGTTGATGTGAGTTTGGGAGGACTTTCCCAAGGGTCCTCCAGCACGTGTGTCTGTGGAAGCTGCAGGCTCTGGGGTGCTCTAAAAACTATGCACAGTTGGATGTAGGGTAGGAAGGAGAGGGGGGACTCACTGCCTATGGGCAGCACTGCCAGGAAGGCAGAAACAGTGTCTGCTTCTCTGGATATTTCAATTCTCTCGTGTAACTGCTCTTGGGGATTTTCCACTGTTACTGACTTCTATTTTTTTTTCTCCACAAATAAACTGGTACTTTCTAAAATTGGCTTCTTGGACTGTTTCTGATCTGGGATTACTTTTGGGAACTGGATAACAGAGCCTGTGTGTGTAACTCCTTGGTTTACCAAAGGGAGGGGTGTGCTGGGAGTGGTGTGGCAGTGCCCTGCAGTGCCCTGCAGCTCAGAGGGGCTTTGTCACTGTCCCCATTCCTGCTGCCTGTAGGAGCAGCAGGGCTGGGCTTCTGGAGCAACCTAGTGCTGAGTTCTTCAGGCAAGCAGTGTGGATGCAGCATGGCCTCCAGGGGGGAGCATATGTCCTCTGTGCCACTTCAACCCAGAGCAGCTCTTCGGTAAGCCCTGGAGGAGTCTGTGGCTTCTCCAGCCCCTCTGCCCTGGCACTTTGGTGCTCCTGAAGGATGGGGTTGGCTCTGCTTGCTGGGATGGGTGTTGAGTGTCCAAAGAAGTGCAGTGTTTAAATGGATTATTGTCCTTGAGAAAATCTAATTGCTCTCTCCCTGCTAGGAACTCCTGCTCTGGGCAGCTGGGAGCAGTGTGTGTGCTCCCTTAGGGCTGCAGATACACACTGGCTCTGTGCTGCTGCCTGCTCTGTGTCCAGGACTTCAGGTGTTACTGGGCTGGGCTGACCTCTGCTCCTGGGAGCTGCTGTTTGTCCAGACCTGGTGATGTATGCCTGCATCCTCTGTGTTCTCATGCCTCCAACAGCCGGGATGGGCTCTTGGCCTTGCACCTCAGGACAGCATTTGTTTGTCTCTTCCTTTCCCAAGGGCTTCATTTCAGTTGCAGGAATCCCTTGTGCTGTGTTTGTGCAGTGCTCTGGATGGGCTCTGCAGGTCACAGGGTGCAGCACCCACAGGCTCTGCTCCTTGCTGCCTACTACCCCTGAGTGATGCTTCGCAGAACCCGCCCTGCTCCCGGCTGTCATTCGGTCGCATTTCCTCGTGGTGCAGCTCTGCTCTTACACCAGGACCCCCTTTGGAGTTAGAGCTGAGCACTGCCGCCCTCTGCTGCGGGATGGGGCGCTTTGGGGTGGGCTCCTCCGGGATGCTCTTAGCCGGGTGACCCCGTTACCCCTCCCCGGGCTCTCCCGGGCCCCGCTCCGCTTTGTGGCTGCTGCCCCCTCCTGGCACTGCGCGCACCCCGCAGGGTTTTCTTCATTATTTTTCCTTTTTTTTTATTTTTTCCTTTTTTTTCTCTCTTTTTTTTTTTTTTTTTTTTAACTTTTTCCTTGTTCACCCTTCTCCCTACTTCCACCCATTCCCCTTTTCCTTTATTTATTTATTTATTTAGTTAGTTAGTTAGTTAGTTAGTTAGTTTTGCCATTGCATTGCAAGAAAATCAGTCTAACTACCCAGCAGGTAACAGCCTCAGGCCTGGAGATGCAGAGAACTCTCATATCATCATTATGCCTGAGTACTTTATCAGCCAGTTCACCCAGAGTGCAGGGTGGGAAAGGCTCAGAAGAGGGATAAACATTAGCAAAGTGTCAGCTATAATGTGCTGAAGCTCGTGGCAGGGCTATAGGTATGCTCTGAAAGATGCCTAAGACCTGCAAGGAAACGTTCCTCTGCAGAAGGCACCAAAAAGGCAACGGGGTGCAGTGTTGCTCCCACCACATCATCCTGACCTTGCTGTGCTGAGCATCACTGAGAGCAGCTTTGAGGTCAGACCAGGACCACAGGAACCAAAAGGGGCAGGTAGGGGTTTCTCTGCTAAAATATCTACGGCTTGGGAAATGTGTAGGTGGGAGAAGATGCATTTGTCCTGGGAACAGTATCAGTTTAATAACGTGGAGGCAATACTGCAGAGGAGCATTGGGTGCATACTGCATGTTCCTCACTGTGCTGCTGTGGGGAGGTGATGCAGTTGGGTCTCCAGGGCTACCATGACCAGCAGTGCTGCCAGGCTTGTTGCTAGTTCATCTTCCAAATCCATCTGTTTCAAAGGTGCACCAAAGCCCTACTCCTTTCCTTGAGCTTTCACCTGGGGCTAGGAGGTCTGGGTCTCTATCCAGCAGCCTTGGGCGGAGGTGCAGCAGAGATAGAATGAGGGCTGGGAGTGCCAGGGTCTCTGTACCCCACAGGCTTCTGCTGGCCCCAGGGAATGGAGTGTTCCCGGTGCAGAAGCACCACTCACCCCCCAGTGCAGCCCTCTGCTCTGCACCATCCCCCTCCCAGGAGGAAGTTTCAGGGCGTTTGGCCCAATATTGACATTGCAGAGGGGAAAGGGCTGCTTTTTAATCACCGCCTGATTATTTGGAGTGAAGGCAGAGAAGCGGGGGGCCGAGGTGGGCCGGCAGCCCCACAGAACATGGAGTGAACAATGGGGCCAGTGTTGGGCTGAGCACCACAGCTCCCTGCAGCAACGCCCAGCAAGGAGTTTTCAGCACGTTCCTATTCCCTGCTCAGGTATAATTACACTGGGGAACAAAGAGCCCTTTACAGCTGCCTGCTCCCCCCAGTACAGCCCTGGGGCTCCCTGCACACACACCTCTGTGCCTGCTCTTAGTGGGATGTGGGGGGACAGGGGATCATGGTGACAGTCAAACCCTATCTGGCTCTTCTGGGGTCTGCCCATCCTCACTGCAGAAAGCACGGAGCAAATCTCTCCCTGCCCCAGTACCAAGCCTGCTTTCTTGGGGTTGCAGCATTGCTGTAAGATGGAGATTGTTTATTAAAGCCTCTTTCCTTATGCCCTATTCACAGCACTGGAGATGCTGTGTTGGGACAGGTAGTGACACTGTGGTAGCAGGCAGAGTCTGGCTCAGAAACCTCTGGCCCAAGCTCAGCTCCCATGGCCAGGCACCTCTCTGGGATCACATTTGCATTCAACTGTGTTCAAACATCAAAGCAGTGAAAATTATTAGTATTATTTGACACACAGCCCACGCTGACATCTCTGCTCCCAGCCATCCTCACCATGCCAGCACCTCCCTGTGTGGGGGGAGCTGGGCACAGCCCTGCAGGTTTGCAGTCTTCTAGCTGCTGCTTCTCCTCCAGAACCCCATGCTGAGCCCAGCTTCCACCCAGATCCCCTGGCCCTGACACAGAGCTAATGGGCACCAATGGGGGGTTCAGTCCTTCCCTGCACTGCAGGCAGCCCAGGGCTGTGCCAGAAGGGAGCTTTTTCAAACTTGCTTGTTTTACAGCAAAACCCAAATCCCAACTTTCCACACAGGCAGGGCTGAGAGCTCAGAGCTGCGGACACAGGAGCGCAGCAGGTTGTGGATGGCCCGTTTTGCAGTGCCTCAGCATCCCTCAGCTCTGCTTCTTTTGGCTTTAGCTCTGCCTCCTGCCACCCTGCTGGGTTATTTGCGGCTCTGTCAGTAACGGATAAGTCAGCAGAGGTTTTCTGGGCACTGCACAGACCTAGGGCCCCATCCAAAGCTCTGGGGCCAGGGCTGCCCTTGGGGTGATGCTGTCGGCACGGTGCGCACCGGCCCGGCTGCGGCTCGCTAGATGGCGGCAGCTGCTCTGCTCCCGGAGGGCGGGGAGTGACAAGCCGCGATTTTCCTCTCGATGTTTTGAAGGAGCTCTCAGCTCTGCCTCCTTCGTGCGGTGCCGGGAACTGTGCTTCGCTTTCCCAACGCCCTCAGGCTTTGCCATTATCCGGAGATAAGGGCGTATGCCATAAACGTAACAACGTGAGCCTGTTTGAAGCCCTTCAAGTCGACAAGAACCGCTCCTGCCTTTCAGGACCCGGCTGCTGCTGAACGAAGCAGGGGTCACTTTCCATTCATCAAACAGAAGTGGTGCACAGGAAACGGCTGTGGCTGCAGCTCCTATAGAGTGGGTGGGGACTGAGCCCTGACCCCATCCTAACTATCGAGCTCCCTGTGCAGATGAAGAAAATGCTCTGGGGGGTGAAGAGCGTTGTCTCTGCATGTCTCAGCAGAGCCATGACTGCTGGGAAGAGTTTGCCTTTCTTCCCCTACCCCCCACCTTTTGAAATAATGCCATTTGGGTCTCTAAGCAGGAAAAGAAATCAATAATAATCTAGTGCTGATATTCAGCTGCTGGATGAAATTCCTCCTATAGATTAATAACACTTAAAGTCCCAGTCATTCATCATTCCTGTCCCTCATGGCCTTTAAATATATGTGCAAGGGGCACACTGGGGAGAGGGGATGCTCTGTGCCAGCACAGGAGGTAAAATGCGAGGGCCAGTAAAGCAGCATTGAATTGGTAAAGAGTCCATGCAGTGTGATTTATTGGTGCCCACATGTGAGATTTCTGCTGTTCAAGAGACAGCAGATCAGGATACAGCAGGCATACAGGGGACTCTTGAGCACGGCCAAGGGCTGCTGGCAATGAATGCTTCCCACCCAGCTCACTAGCTGTGCATGAAGAGGTGGAAGTTGGTCCTGGTGAACTCCTGGTGGATGCTGTTGAGCAGTGTGTCTGAGTCCTGTGGGACATCAGCAGGGAGCTGCTGCCCTGGAAGGAAGCTCTGCTCTGGAGTGTAGGTGAAGGTGAAGGAGCTGGAGTAGATGAGGCCATCGTCCCTGACCAGCAGGAGTGGGACAGTGATGGGGTACCGCAGCCACCTCCAGTCGCTGCCGAAGGCAGAGACATCAGGGACAACACACATCAGGGATTTGGGGCTCCTAGGAGCAAGGCAGTAAAACAAGAGTTCACCTGAAGGAGTCTTGGTGGTGGAGACGGGGTCAAGGACCACCCTCCCCTCTTGTCTCGTGGTTCCCTTCCTCTGCCCACTTGTCACCAGCCCAAGGCCCCATGCCCAAACCCAGAACTGCTCCTCTGCCCCCTCACCTGTACATCGTCTCTGCTTCCACGTCCCCGAACCAGACCTTGAGGTGAGCATGGAAATGCTCTCCTTGCACCTCCAGCATGGCCACATCCCCTCCGCCACTGAGCTGCATGGGGCAGAGCCACAGTGGGCACAGGGCTCTGCCTCTCCTCCATATGTCTCAAACCAGAAGCCGAGCAGAGGTGCCAGGGCTCAGCAATGGAGCAGGTGAGCCCACATCCATCCTGCACCCAGAACCACACCTACCTGCAAGGCTGTGATGAGGGGCACAGGGCTGACGGGCTCACGAGCACAGGCCAGGCTCTCGCTGAAGCTGTACTCCACCGTCTCAGTGCCAATGATGGTCCAGCAGGAGCCGTCATTCAGCAGCTCTCGGTTGGCTTCCTTTGGACATGGCGATGCCTGCAGAGAACATCACAGCTCTGAACGCATCACAGTGGGGACGGTGGGCAACCAGTGCCATGACACCTGGTATTTGGTCCCAGTGGAGATCTTTGCAAAAACTTTGGCTAGGAACAAAGCAGAGGAGCTCAGAGAGAGGATGCTGAGCACCCAGGGGTGTTCAGCCCCCTGTACCTGGAACTGTATGACTTTCTCTGTGGACAGACACAGGTACATGCGGTCGCTGCCCTGGAACTGGAAGGCACACTTGTGGAGTTGGGAGATGGGCTCATCCACGTCCAGCATAGCATACTGCTTGCTCACCTTCCGAATGATCTGCAAGGCAGATGGTCAGCATGGGGCTGGGGAGTGCTCTGTCCCCATCCATGTCCCTGTGCATACAGAGCACTGCAGAGGAGGAGAAAGCAAATGGACAATGCCCACATTGCTCTCTGTGAGCCCCTCAGCTCAGGGGAACAGCAGAGCAGCAGCAGCCGCCCTAGGAGTGCCCATTGCTCATTCCCATGGGGATGGAGCCTTACCAGGGGTGGCAGGGTGATGCCGGTGGCCGTGCAGATGAGCTGGACCACAGAGCCATAGCGGATGTATCCCTCCCGCAGGGGAAACTCACTTTGGGTGCAGCGCTCATCAGCTTTGCAGGAAGAAGAGAGGCAGAGTTACCATCACAAGCAGCGACCTCCAGCTAACTCCCAATCCTCCAGCCCCCAGGAATCGGCATAGGATGGGTAAGCCTAGGCTGGAGAGAGGCAGCCCTGGAGACAGCTCCTTACCCAGGTGCAGGGTGAAGGCTGCCCACTGCCTGGCACTGGCGATGAAGGCTCCTCCCTCCACGGACAGGTAGCGGGTGCTGACGGTCTGTGAGCGCAGGCGGTTGAAGAGGGACACTTTGGAGCCTGAGGAGATGCACACTGTGGGGGGAAGGTGGCTGGGTTAGGGTTGGAACCACAACCCTGCTGCTTTCTGCAGCTGGACAGGACAAGTCCTGGGTTCTGGTGTGACCAGCACTGCAGGAACCAGTGTTTCCCAGCTGCCATTCTTTTCATGGCATCAGGACATTATACATTGCAATAGGTCAACCCTTTGGAAGCAGACATCACCTCTGCCCAAGTGGATCTTTTGAGATTCAAACCCACGGGCTTTGAATTTGCCCTGACCGCTTCAGAGCCAAGCCCTGAGCACTGCGTCCTATCTCACTTCATCCCACTGCACTCCAGCCCATCTCATCTCACTCTGCTCCACGCCATGTCATGCCATGCCATTCTATGCCACCCCACCTCATCCCATCCCACCCCAACCAACCCCACCCAGCCCCACGCCTGCTTTTTCCTCGCAGAGCCAACTCCATACGCACGATCCGTGTTCTTCAGCGACTGCTTCTTCTGCGAGGGCTTAGAGATGACCTTGATCAGCTTGCTGTGGAAGGTGCCGATCTCCTGCCCGTTGCTGAAGAAGAGCTTCAGGACCAGGCGGAAATGCTTGCGCTTATCCGTATCTGAGATGTACAGAGCCTTGGCACAGCCAAACCCCTGCAAAGGGCAGAAGGAGAGGTTGCTGGATGTAGACTGGGGGCAGCAGGCACAGATATGGTCCCTCCAACCTTCCTCACCCTCCTCCCCGCCAGCCCGGGCACAGCGTGTTGCCAGGACATAATGGTACCCTTTGAAAGAGCCCTGGGTTCATTTACAGGGGGAAATGACCAGAGATGTTATTACAGGTGCAGTGAAGAACTGGGGATCAGCAGTGGCTTTATTTACACTGGGGGCAGAGAATTCCTCATGGAAATTCATGTTTATGTGTGATTTATCCCACATCACATGAGGGATTGCCCCAGCTTTGGGTTTCCAAACCCAGGCTGGATGGCTGATAGGCCACGCTCTAGCAACAGCTCCAGCACTGCAAACAAAGGCCCTCTTTGTAATATTTCTGGCCCAGCTCAGACCCCGTGCTCTTTGGGGACCCCAGACAACACTTTTCTTTTTGCCCCTATCAAAAGATGCTAGATCGCATCTCAAGCTCTTGAACTTCAGAAGGGCTGGGATTTCTGTGTGTGTGTTATGTGTGGGAATGCTGCTGGGGGGCTGTGCTGCAAGAGGGGAGCAGGCAG